TTTTCCGTGCATCCATTTGATCGTTATCCATATTGTCGATACCTGCAACGATAGATCGGCTACAACAAGTATTACTGCCACCTATTGTGGTGTTTTGCAAGCCCCATTACCGACGAATCGAGCGCCGCATGACGGCATTACAAGGGAATTCTGCAATACGCTACTCCTGTAAGTAAAAATCCTAAATGTAACACAAACAACAATTTGTTTACATTGTTTACAAGTCCTAATATAAATCCAAAAGTGATAATGAAAGGTAAATGCTTACCTTTCCGTATCTCGACTTGTATTAGACTGTTTTAGAGAAGTTCATACCATACCAATCTGAGGATAGTAGATGCCGTTCACAAGAATATAACCCCAATTACTATCATCAGTTTATTCACACTGTAACGCTTGACACAAATACAACAGTTGACTGCGTTGCATACCATCGTCACATATTCCTAATCAAGTTTCGAAACGTCAACATCTGTAGAGTATCAAACGTTTCAACATTGGTTGACCTCAGAATGTTCCAATACCTTTTGACCTCACTCACTGAAAGCCCCACGGCTAAGTTTGTGCGTTTGGTTAAAGGGCTGTGGGTCGTGGCTAAGGCAGTGCCGGTTTTAGTTAAAGCTTGATGAAAAAGATGTAGTTGTCACTCTGACTAGTCTCCACTTATAGAAAAAGATCATGTTGTGGTAAGAAACTCACCGTCACCACGTTATGGCCGAATGAAACCCGATAGGGGTCTGTACGCAGTTTTCTTCCTAGGCCACAGTTGCAAACCTCCGTTCGATACAGAATTGTCTTTCCGAATTTGGATGAAATCACCTACTAACGGAATGCAGCAGTATTAGTAATCCTTGTAGTCCTTGCCGCAGACCAACATATATGGGTAGTGAAACCAACCTATCCTCTCGTAAGAATAAGTTTCACAAAAGTGAAGTCAAGTCCTTGATCACCATGGATCGGACGTTGTGTCACGCATATCGTTCAACCTGCTTCTCCGATGAGACAGTTTGTGGTCAAACGACCAGGGTTCGCTAGATTTTCTTTTTTCTAAAGGTGTGGCAATCTTGACCGTCTATTCGATAACGTTAATCTTTGTTCCTTAGTCGGGTTCAATCTAATCCTTGTCTGAAACCGAAACTGTTTATGACTGACTTTTTTCATTTTTCATTTTCACTTTGTTTCATTGAAAATGCAGAGATACAATTTTAAGGAAGGGGGAAGTGGTCAATCAAAGGACTGCCATTCAACACAATGGGGAAAGTCAGGCCGTGGGGGTGGGATTCGAACACATATCCCCGGAGTGATAATTTGGTGACGTTACCACCGGCCCGCCATCGCCCGGTTTTTTGAGCGTTTAATCGTTATTCTCAGTGATGTGTTTAGGTGACCTTGTATTATTAAACCCATACATCGCTTTGTTTTCTATAAAAAACTTTTGCATCATGGCGTGTTTAACACTGTTTAAAAGTGAGCACATCTTTGAATCGTATGCTGGAGGTTTTTTCACTCAGCTTTGGGGTCGATCTCATTCCTATTTTTCGTCGAATCACCAACAGCGCAACTAAATGAGGTGTTGGGGAATGCAAGCTTTCTTGAAGGGGGAACGAAGTGGATTTCGGTTGACTCCACGATTGTTAGCGTTCTGGTATTCCGAGTGTTTTTGCACGGTGACATATTTTAGTTGATTTTATTTTATTTGTGCTTCTTACTGGTTTCAGATTCAACACCCAGTCCCCCACCGCATATCGGATCGACCGGTTCCAGTGTTTCAGGATCTCATAATGTTTCCACCTCCGTCGATCCCACTCTGGGGTCTACTCGTGGACGGGAACCCGCTCATTCCAATACAGAGATAACGGACTCAAACTTTTGGGCCTGTCCCCACTGCACATACCATAATGAGCTTGAAACACTCGAGTGCGAAATGTGCGGTTTACCCAGACACGCATGAGGCCCCCCTCCCCAGGTCATGCTCATGTCTNCGTGAATTCATTTATTCATCTTTTTCTCAGTCCGTTTGATATATACACACACACACTTTACCATCCCCATCGTTGGCGAACAACCTTGTGTAACGCGCTATTCTTCTCCGATACGGACGGTATCATTGGCCTAGTAACTTCAAGATTGTGAACCTCTAAACCATTCCCGTCCGCTCTTTCAAATCGGATCAGGTTGTGCGCATCGGTTTTTTTTTCCGTATCACAATTCGTAAGCCGGTTGGATGGTTTAGATTTATCTTGCTATGCACCTCCGTTCCTCCTCCCCCTATGCACTCATCGTCTCGTTCCTGCTCTCGACCCGTGAATGGCACGTTTTTCTGTTCCGATATTATTTTCTTCCGTCTGTTCTTTCTGTTCCACACGGATCTATTTTAACGAGGGTCAGAATCTAGGCTTTTCTAACCGAATGTCTATGGGCAGTTGTTGTTCTTAACTGGGTGTTCTGGCCGGGCTTCAGTTCGAATTCTGCAGGACAATCCCCCATCGAACTGGGTGGGTCACAGATGATTTTTATTGCGGGTACTGGGTCTCCTATGTTCGGACAATATGCAACAAGAGTATTAGGTTCTCACTTGCTCATGGGTGTTTTTTTATTCGAGCAGGCCTTCGAACTTCAATTCGATGATTATGACGCACGGATCTTTAATGAAGTTTGCATTCCCACAATCATTAGTCAGCAATTCCAAGTCGTGGCTCTCTAACACCAGGATTTATTCTACATGTGTTCCCAAAACTGAAATCATTTATCATCTAGCAGGTTGCTTGCAGAAGAAATGATTTCCCCTGGTTCTAGGAACCAGGAAAGCCAACCCGAATCGGAAGCACTGTTTCGTCAGATTGCTCTGAATTTCTGATAAATAGAAATTCACTTAGATACCGGAAGTTCATTTTACCCAACATGACGCGGTGGTAACAATGGGGATTGCGACAGTCAAACTTGCGGCAGTCTGTTTCCTTTTGGACTGAGTTTCTTCTCATCCCCCCAACTCCACGTATTTTAATGCAAAACTGATGCCCATTCTGGGGGCAGATCTCAGTTACGTTCATTTCTGGGCAGATACGGACGGTTGTTTTGTCTGGTAGTGAGTGGGTAATGACTCCTGTCTGTTCTCATGTATTAGTGTTGTAAGTAGTATGCTTGGATTGCGCGAAAGAACTTGATTGACGGTTCCTGTCAACCGTAAAAAATGAACAAGACCTCGAGGAGCGAATTACTGTGTTAAAAATGGTAACTACGGGAAGTGCACATCCATCGTGAAACCGTTTCACCAATTATCCTGTGTGCTTGTGGGAATTCGGAAGATCTGTTGCAAATGTGACGTTTCGCTGTATGTATGCCAATTTACCGATACCGTTGTTCGCGATAAATAACTCTTATCGTCTCGGCACTGCCTTGCGGATCTGTCACGTTAGTAGTCGAAAATAGCTCAAAAAGATAGATTACTTGGGGTTCTCTGGCGAAACGTGAAGATGGCTCCCTGTTCATCGATACCATGGCCGTGGAACTGGTCAGACCCCTGTTTTTATTACTAATTCTTGTTAGCATATCCTGTTTGTAGCGTGTATCCATACGGTTGTTTACTTTGCTCTAGCTCGGGTGGGTTGGACGATAAAGGCGTGAGAAAACCATGTGGTGGAGTAATTGCCATCGGTCTTCGAACACCACCGTCGTCTACTCTGCGTTACACGTGTCTGGTGGGGTAGCAATGTTGAGGTTAGGCATAGAGCTGTAGGAAACTGCGGTCGTCCACTGGAGCAAGCGATCGACCTTTGTAGATTACGTTGGTTGGGACATGTGTCACCAGATAGATTACCACGGCGCGGGGTGTTTGCCGAGGCCGGGAGCGGTTAGAAAAAGATCAAGGGCGGTCAAACGAGGACCCGGAATGTGGGTATGAAAACCCTCACCAAGAAACTAGGCCATATAGTCCCCGTTAGGCTCACTGGGTGGGGATCTCTTTATCATGGTCACCGATGATTAGAGACAGTGAGTTATATGGCTGGGTGTTCGAAACAGTGGCGCTAATGCATTCATTATTCTTGTAACATCAGTCTGCATGAATTCGGTATCTTCTGCTTGAGTTAGCTCTTAACATTCTAATCTTTATTCTGCTCTTTTATCCAAATGGGCAACCGAAACCGGTGCATGAAAGTGCATGGTAATGGTTGTAAAAACTGAACTATCACATTACCATTGAGCATAGCAAAACCGCAGCATGAATTTATTCGCTAATTCTGGGCTATTCATTGATAACTGAGAAGAGTGCACAATGGGTTTCCTAAATGGAGAAAAATCGAATCAGCGATAAGTTGAAATTTAGATTTTCACCGTCAAATCGGTTCCCGTTTCTCAATATCGGGGCGGGGTATTCACCAGTTTCAGTTTCACGAGAAATCTATACCTTTTGCAAACCAAGTTGTCCCAAAATCATATCAAGATGTCCGGGAATCATTTCTAGTTGACTGACCATTATTTCAATGTCTGGCGATTATTTCAAGTTGTCCCAGTATCATTTCAAGATGCCTTCGGATTATTTCAAGCTATCTCATTGACCTCACCGGTGCTGACAAGCCTCTCAG